CTTGTCAGGCTAATGTAAAGCCAGATACCGATAGTTTCTGTTATGCATTTCCATGGTGATTAAGCTACTTGTATATAAACTACGGTAAGCGTGTTGTGGAGGTTTTTTCGTAGAACTTGACATTGTACAAGTAAACACTAAAATATGCAACAATTATTGGAATAATGCAGAAAAATATATATATATATATACACACGTTCTTGAAATAGCACAGAATAACATTTATACATCAAATTAACGACATGTGTTTGGACGCATTCACTCATTAGAAAAAAACCTATACCGTAAAATCTGTATTAGAAGCTGCATCCCTAATAGAAGTCGCATCCACTCTTTTTGAATAATTGAGAATCAAAAATTCATCATTCCCTGTATGTGTAGATGATCTAATAGAAGCCGCATCCCCTCTGTTGCATTGTACCATTTCAATTGAAGTCGCGGCTTCTAATACAGATTTTACAGTACTGTTAACTGACACAAATAAGAACTAGTCAATTTGTAGTTATACTACTAATGGGAAAAAAATGAGATGCTTCAAGGCTGTCGCCTTTTGTTTTGTTTTGAGCGTAGTTTTATAAAACAATTATGTCATTTTATTGTCGGCCTATAGTCTTGTAAAAATGACGTTGTTAAACAAATTTAGGTTTAAAAAATTTTCAGCAAGGCTAGCATGAAAAATTGGAAACTTTGTAGATTCTAATACAAAATGATTCCTCAAGCCATCATCAGAAACTTTGTAAATATGTAAATCATCATTCCCAGAACATGTTAAAAACGTAAATTGTGTCCAAATAATGCTGTTTTAGCAATACAGGACGGTATATTAAAAGAAGCTTATCCTGCTTGTGTTCTCACATTCCCGCCAATTATATTTTGAGAGAAACTCGGTACGTATTTTAGGAGGTCCTTTTTGGTTCATCTTCTACAGTAAGTTTTATTATCCATTCACAAAATCAACATTTGATGGGGTATGTATTGATCATATATTGATCAAATTTGGAATTTAACTTTAAGATTGGGTTCTATTATTTTAAATTTATTAACTCATGGGTAATCATTTAATAATGTAAATGTAATATCTTTTATATTTTATACTGAATTTCCAATACTTATCTCCTATATTCCTTATTTTTATACTGATTTGTTATCATTTGACATCAACTATGTTGTGTATCTTGGAATGCCACTGAAATGGAATGTTACTTTCCACAAAATTAATTTCCATATTTTTTTTCCATACTGGAAATGGGTTGAGATCCATCGACAATGTGTAATTATGTCTAACGATATTTGGGTTGAAATTAACATAGAAATTTATATAAAAAAAATTGGTTTTCGAAAGTTGTAAAACTGGTGAACAAAATAAAATTTTGATTTATTTTTAAGTTCAACTTTTAATATATGTATGATCTGAATGGTATAAATATATGTTCTGTATCTTCTTAGGGGTGGACCATTAAAAACTCAGGGGGTGGCAGAATTGAAAAAAAATTGCACAGGAAAAGATTATTGGAAAAAAAAATCCTGCAAAAAAAAAACCTGTTTACCTTAGCGAAAAAATATTACACACAGAGGAAATAAATAAATTACAATGAATTCATCATTAAAAAAAAATTAACACAAAACTAAGTAAGTCATCGCCCCTCTCAAAGTTTTTAATGGTGCGTTCCTTATGAGATTTGAATACTATTCCTGGAAGCATGTTAGTCTAGTTTCTACTTTACACAATTTGCTATATATAATTATAATTCTTGTTGGTACACTATTGCAATCTGATTCTTGGAAACTTTTTTTTATTACATGTAATTAGTTTTTGAGCCTTGTGGTATTTATATTGAATTTGTTTTTTTCAAATTTGTTGTGTTTTAACAAATTGTTACTGATTTTAGAGTGTGAAATATTACCCCCATCCTACTTGCGTGTTTACAGAATTAAACATTGCTAAATTGAATTATTTCTCATACTTTGGTTACAATAGTTTTACAAAAATAAAATACTCCAAACAGATTGATGCATCTGTACAGTTATGTGAATAAATATTTGTTGTTGTCAAGAATAGAATAAAATTGAGTGTGTGTGCATGTACGCATGTGCGTGCGTGCGTGCGTACGTGCGTGCATGAGGAGTGCATCAAAAAACAGTATACCATACTACATCATTTCATAATTGTTGCTTGCAAGTGAGGATTGTAGAAGTATTAAATGCATCATGAAATTTCGATCTTTAGATGTATGTATTACCTATAGTATGCCCTGATGAAACAGGGTCATCTGAAAAATCTTGAAGAAAATATGACGATCGCTATTCGAAAAAAAAAATTCCAGCCATCGAGTCTAGCTGACCTCCTTCAATTATCAATTGGTTGATCCCTGAAATTAATAATTTCATCTTTTTTCTATCAGTTAATAGCAATATGATAATAAATGAATTCGTTTTAGAAAGACAGATTGATAATGTTATGAATCAAGAGAATGTTCATTTCGTAAAATGAACAAAATCGCCACATGGCTTAAATGTATTGTTTCCCATTGTATTTTCATTAAATAAATGAATTTCTTAAAATTTGTGCAGGTTTCTTTTCGGAATAAATTATTTGAAAGAAACTTCTTTCGATATTTTGAAATTCTTTGTTTCGAATTTAACACGTTCAAGTGCTCTACAATATTGTAATTAATTTTAAACTTGTGCTTTGTTTTCTCATTTGTCATATTTGCTCTCCAGTAGGTTATATAGAGGGGGGGGGCAGGAGTTATATTCGTTCAACATAAGTGCAATATTTTTTTGTTCGTACAAAGTAAATTGAAAAAATGAATTCCGTAATTCTGTAATCACAGGCTAGACGTACAACGTAATCAATCAAATATTTTTTTCGTACACTGTAAAAATGTGTCATTTTTCTCAGTACGTACAAGAATTTTTTAGGTTTTCTTTCTTAATTTTCCGTAAAATGTAAAATAACGTTTATTTTCTCTGTAAACTGTAAACATTTAATTTTCACTGTAAAAATATCTTTTTTTCCCTTGTAAATTGTAAAAAGCCTTTTTCATTTCCCATAAAACTGTACCAGCTACCCCACTTGCCCCCTTTATATACTGTTGTTTAATAATGTTTATAATTTTCTTAAAATTTTGCTGTGACAGTAATAGGGTTGACCATTTAAAATCATTTGAGATGACTAGAAGATTTGTTAAACAAAAATTATATCAAACTAATTACAAAAGCTGTAAACCCCTTACCAAGTTGTCCAATCAAGCAATTTATTTTGGAGCATGTTTTAAGGTAATGTAAATGCACAAATACACACAACCGCATCGATAAGGCCAGACTTTTATTATCCCTTGTTTCACAAACCCGCCGAATGAACAGGAGCCGAAAATGAAATAAAAATAAAATTTTATTTCAGCGTAATTTCTCGGGCCCACCGACTTGTAAGTGCAAAAAATTGCTAATAAAAACTTATTTTTATCTTACTTTTTTTTTACGCCCACCGCATAACAAACCCAAGTTGCATTTTCGTGGGAGTATCATGATCAAAGTACTAAAGTCACGCGCAGATGAGAAACAAGGTTATACATGGAATAAAATTTTATTTCATTTCTTCTCTCCGATCACTTACAATTCTTTGAGAATCACACAAATCTAATGGAAAAAAAGAATTAATTTTATTTTTTTTCTGCCTCACAAAAATTGCCTTATAAAAACTCGAGAAACAAGGAACAACAAAATTCTGGCCTAATATCAAATAGCATGGATGACCGAGTAATGTTTCAACGAACAAATGAATAACCCGGAAGTGAATATTTAGCAACGCTAAGATTAGTCTCAGATTCAGATTGAACAAAAATTGGATTCAAGATCCGTGTTCACGAAACGTTTAAATTATGAAAAATGTATTTTAAGCATGAGAGTATAGGGAAGAGGAAACGCCTATAAATATGAAAACCGATCAAATTTTTTGCTTGAAGTGATACTGTAGAGAGAGCGTGTATTCACTGTTTTTATTTTCAGTGTATTTGATGTCGTGCCCACTGCTTTGTAAAGGAAAAATGTTATAGTTTGCCAAATCACTGGGTTTTAATAATTACTAAGTAAGCCCTAAACAGTACGCGGATATCCAGTACGTACTGAATCAGGTCATATAAGAAAAATAGAAGTACAGATAATTGTTGAGGCAACTGTTTCATGGCAACTGTTGAAGTATCAAATCGTCAAATGATAATTCCGAATACAACACAATGAATTATTTCTATAAACGAGAATCTGAATCCGAATTCTCGTCCAGATCGCCATCGCGTAGAGAATCTGGGGCGGTAGTACGCTGCAACAAACACGGTCATTCGTACGTTCCGCCCACCTGTATGTGTGTGTTTACACAGAACAGCGTTCCCGATTGACGGCGAAGGATTCTCACATTTGCTAACATTTTCGAGTAAAAGTAGGTATTCTTTTCTATAATATTTGTAGGCGATTCGACCAAACACGACTGCTGAAATGGGAAATCAATTCCCTCGATTCGCCACCGACATTTGACGCTAATCGGATCGGAGTCACCTGGTTTTTAGTTTTTAGTGACTTGTCGATCAATATCGAAATTGGAGTTGGGGGGGGGGGTCACTCACACACATCCTGAATTGTTTAGTTTACACCTTGTTTTTTTTCGATATTGATGGCTTATATTAAATAGCTGTTGATTCCTCTATCAACTCAATCTATAGTTTTTCTGCTGTCTGTCCTCCACGTCTGGCCTGTTGAAAAAAAATTGCTAACTAAGTCAAGATATCCTCAAAGCGCGGTAGTCGTCGCGCTGCGCATGTTCGACATTTGTGTTGATAAACATTGATTTTCCCACAGTCCAATGCGCTCTTCAAATGGAAATCACAAGTATGAGGTTTGACATGGGCGCGACTTGTACTGATTACCGCCGGTGACTCCTCGATACCTTCCAATCACATGAAAATTACCTAATTACAGCTTGGAAACGTGTCAGTTTGTACTCGTTGATCTGCACAACATTCAAAGTCGCCATCTTTGTTCATATGAGACCCATATATCTCGAACATGCGACGACTACCGCGCTTTAACTAATAATTGAATAATAATTTTCACCATATACCCAGCCAAAACTAAACTATACTGTAGAATACTTTATTTTTGCTTGGAATTTATTTTCGCTATTTATTTGCTGAAAGGATGATTCCGTGAAAATAAAATCCAGCGAATATACTTTTTTCCTATATTTCACATTAAAACTCATCAAAAATCAGTGAAAATAAATTCCATACAAAATGCCCAAAATACCTTTTCTGCGAAAATTAATTAATTCCATCAAAAATAAAGTATTCTACAGTATATATCTCTACCAATGATTACTGTATAATATGTACAGGGGTTTTTCTAGAAAAAAACTGCAAGAGGGAGCACTGCAATTCATCGACGCCACCAAGTGGGGAGATAGGGTTCTCCCTACCAGTGTGTGAAGTTTTGATAATTCTAAGTTAAAATGGAACATTCTATGTCTTCCTTGGGGCCAAAATTACTATCAGACAGGTCACAGTTGAAGACTGCCACATGTGATCTCGGGTCAATCAGAATTTATGGTTGCCAGAGGATCTGCTCCCAAGGGTAAGGGGGCACATGGCCATGGCATGAGGGCGCTGTGCCCCTGTTTCCTTGTTTAAAAAAAATCCCTGATATTAAAAACCCATTCTTTTGATTTTTAGAAATTTCACAATTCAAACTGAAATGTGAGGTATCGATTAACTGATGGAATAACATTGAAACATTTTCAAATAAAATCATTGCTCGATTTGTAAAATTATAAAACACTTTGGGGTATGGTGTTGGCCACTTTATCAGATGATTAACACAAGATCTTGAGAATCCACAGACTCCCATTTTCTACCCACTTTTTTTTTGTCACTATATTAACAGTTATAGGTGTTACCGTATTTCACTTCTGCCCTTTTTTTTTATTCAATCTTTCTGAAATTTCAAACAGTCAGCTTAAACAGTCAAACAAAAATGCTTTGCTTCTGCAATATAAGAAAAAATCTCACTTAATTTTTGCTTCATAAATTTCAACCAAATAAACGCTTTTATCTATATCATTGATTTAGGTTGATCAGTTGATTTTATCTAGCCACAATATTTGGTCATATTTCATTTTGAACAATTTCTAATGTTATTTAATGTTGGCAGTTTTTGGGAAAAATATAAAGATAGTTAACTAAAATTCTCTCTCTCCTCTCAGTGAATGATCTGATGATGGAGAAACCTATCACGAGCACAGCTGAGTCTAGTTTGGAGGAAAATAAGAAAGATGAATTAGAAACAGAAAAATACTGTAAACTGGACACAAATGAAACAGATGCTGATTTGAAAAAATCTCTGTTCCAAAAGGTAATTTGATATTTTTGGTCAATAATGTATTGAAGATATATGAAAAATAAATGTGATTTTAATATATTAATTTTATAAATGGCTAAGATTGTAGGTCTTTGGTGATGAAATGTGGTCTTCAAGTTTTGCTTTCAGTATTACAGGAACACAGTAATGCATGTTGATATTGGATGCTGATAAAAACACAAGTGTTAGTTATTAGAGAGCCTGATAGTGAGTACAAAAAATGGCATAACAAATTGTGTTCAGTCATAGTTCAAAGTTCAAAGTTTACTGTGGTGATATAGTACAGCCATATTGTACATGTACATGCAGTGCCCGATAGGTAAAGCCGACCACGGAACATGAGACAAGAACAGAATAGTGGAATACGTGCATGTGGAGTTCTGACGACAGTGCACTTTAGACGTGTTCTGTAAAATAAGGCTGAATTTTGCACTGTTTTTTATAATTACATATTTCACTGAGAAATAAATAAAAAAAAAACCATTAGATACAATAGATGATGTTTCGCTCACTGCGAGATCTTGTAAAGTTTGTGAAATGCGCACAATAAACGTCTGCCTCAAAAGTTGATTTGATTTTGAATTTCAATTTGTTTTTTTTTACATGAAGTTCATTGTTCAAATGTGGGGTTATTGAGAGGGGAACATTGTGTTGAGATACACTTACTTCATCAAAAATTAATACACCCCTCGGTTATCAAATTGTATGGCACATTTTCAAGAGTGAAAATATGATTATCCCCAAAATATTTTCACGTTTGTTGAATCCCACATGAGGTTTTGACGTCATTACAAGTAACACGGTAATGATCTTTGTTTGCCCTGTTTTGATGATCAATTTCACGCACAATGCATGATCTTACAGTGAACGAAAATGAACTACTGTGAAATACTTTATTTTCGCTGGATTAAATTTTCGCTGAAAAGGCTTCTTGGGCGTTTTGTTTAATGTGAAATATAGGAAAAAAAGTATATTCGCAGGATTTTATTTGTTACAGAATCATCCCTTCAGCGAAAATAGCGAAAAATAAATTCCAAGTGAAAATTAAGTATTCTACAGTATTATACATAGAATATAGTTTCCATAACATCTATTGAATTTTAAACCCTGTGAATAATCTCTACAACATCAGTTCACTAAAATTAAATTCTCTGCATACTGTAAACTGCCTAATATTAACTTTTATGAATTTCGGAATTTAATAATTTAATGGCATTTGTGAAGTTTAAATTTCATGACACTCTGTGTCATAGAACCGAAAAAAAGTTTTTATTGTTAGAAAATTTCATGTTTCTCAGTGGTTCACACACTTTGCAAAAAATTGTTTTCCTTGAATTTGAAGTGGTTTCCTTGAACAATCCAGACCCCAAAATTTGCCATTTCTCATATGTGTAGATGTTCTAATATAAGCCGCATCCCCTCTGTTGCATTGTACCATTTTAATAGAAGCCGCGGCATTTAATACAGATTTTACAGTACTATATTTTTGCTTGGAATTTATCTCCTCTATTATCACTGAAGAATGATTCAGTGAAAACAAATTCCAGCAAATATACCCTTTTCCCTGTATTTTACACTTAAATCATAAAAAATCAGTGAAAATAAATTCCATACAAAACAGCCAAAATGTCTTTTAAGAGAAAATTAATTCCAGCTGAAATAAGTATTTTACAGTATTACAATTTTGTCATAGATTAGATCGTTTCTCCCACAGACCAGTGAATTTAAAAGCTGGGATTATCCGTCAAATCTATGGAAACCATGGTTACTAACAAGCATGCATAATGTTCAGTGATATTATTGGTCAAAGTTTTTTTTTTGTCTCCAAATGATCCAAAAAGTGGTGTAATGACACACTTTTTTTGTTTGCTGTTTATATTATTTTTGCAGTAACCAGGAAAAATTAAAAGCATCCCACTTTGAACTGACACATGACACACTGACTGGAAACAAATCAACTATTTTTTGGGGGGGCCAAAGAATGTTTTTCACAAATTCAATGGAGATTGCAAAATTTTCATAACTGCAGTTAAAATGTTCATGAGGTCCCACAGACAAGAATTTTTAAAACCCAGATTTTTGAAAAAAAATAATTTAGAACACCAATAAAGTACCCTATCATTAACAGTATATGATTTTTTCAGTCTATGTCACTAGATTACGATTTGACATATGCCTTATTATATCTCTTGCTGTAGGAACCTATGGTAAAGGTGTTATAATACTGACAAAATGGTCATTATTATACAACCATTATTTTCTCGAACGTTAGGCTGGTGAGCCCCAACTTTTCTTAAGTCGATCTTTTTATATTGCCTTGGAGTATAATTTATTGCAAAATGAATAAATTCTGGGAGGTTTATTTATGAGTAGGCTTTGCCCAAATTTTTCTTGTATTCTTCAATATTTCTGAAAAATGAACACTAATTTTGAAGCCAACAGACAACATTTGAGTCTATTTTCAGTTTTTACTCAAAAATGTGGCTATTTTTGTCACAATCTTTGGAAGGAAAGTTCATACTATAAACAAATTTGTGATGAAAAGAGGGAACTTGTGGTGAAAAGGTGAAGTAATCAAAACGTAAAATTCCCAGCATCAAAAACTACATACTTCATAGTATACCAGTATAACTTTTTTACTGTATATGTTAATATTGGACTCTGAGTTAAGTCATATGAATTCATTTGGGGTCTTGGGGCTAATACAAAAAATGTTTTAACGTCTGAATATGTGAAAAATGTCTGCCAGCACACAGTAGTTCTTTCTAAATGTTTCTACCCAACACACATCAATGTGGTCACTGGCTGTTTGTTGCTGTGTTTGCTGGTATCAGGGGTTTCTCTAAGTCGGGGAACAGGGGCGCAGCGCCCTGATATGCTCGGCTGGCACCCTCTTACCGAATTGCCGATTGAACTTTAAAGTCATAAATATATTTCTTGAGCCGCGCACTTCTGTGCTGCCGTACAACATGAAATCTTTCTCAAATATATTTTTCTCCGTGAAAACTTCCCAGCAACACCAGTCAACAATGTGTCTGGACACCAAATACACTGAAATTACTCCAAAAATATTTCAATAGCGATAGATACACCGTTAAAACTACGCAGAAACCTTTCGATATGGTGTTTCCAGATCCATCTGCAATATTGTTTCTGTGCTAGCTCGCTCGCTCGCTCACTGTGTGTCGCTCCGCTCTCCCGCCTATGTGTGCTCCCTCTTGTTCATTTTTTCTAGAAAAACCCCTGGCTGGTACTGAAATCTGAAAATGTATGTCTCATCAAAACTAATGTGATTAGAAGCATGGCATTTTCAGCTATTCTTATTATGTCATATTTCTTGTATTATACCACTACCGGTAATATAACCCAGTTACACTTTAGATACATATATAGCATTTCATTTCAATTCTATTTTTATTACACAATGGTTGCCTTGTCTTGTCAATAACATATTAAACTAAGCACGTCAGAACACTAATCAAAAGTGCTAGCAAATTAAATTTGAACATTCAATTAAAGCACGGTGGTCGTAGTGCAGCGTGTGTTCGAATTTCATGTAAATAAACAATGTATTTTACACACGTTGTATACGTCGCAATGAGTCCCATATCGAACAGGACGCGGCACGACGACTGCCGCCCTTTAAACAGGGAGCTGAAACGCTAAGATGCACTGTAAATAATTTAAGTTTAATATTTATTGCATATTTCACAGAATTTGCACAAATTTAGACCATCAAAGATTGCATGTATGTAATAATGTTAGACTATTAGCTTATTTTCCAACTGGTGGAATACTGCCATTTGAATTGTGCTGTATCTTTCATGTTCTCAGGCACATTATTTGGCAACAGAAAAGAGTTTCAGCGTATTTATAAAACTGATTGATTCCCATGGTAACAGTGAGTATTACGGAACGAAAGACTTAGTTCAACAGTATCATTTCGAGGGACTAAAGGTTAGAGATGCTGACGTTGAATTGAATCGTCTTATTGGATTACCTGAAGAAGTCAACGTGAAAGCAACAGAAGATAAAATGTATGATGATAATGATGATGAGCAGAATGAGGATTGTCATGACGTTGAAGACAATGATGATGATAATAATGGTTACAAACCAGAAGGTGGTTCTAAACATAATGCAGGTAATTTTGGGGGTTATTTGAAACAGGGTAGTGAAGGTCAAGACAGATCCAGGCGTTTTGTGGTTGTCAGTTTTGAGTCAGCTGATGACCACATGAATGTAAATTGGCCAATCAGGATCCTAAACATGCGATAATAATGATATGTTTTTTTTTTATTGACATAGAGGATGCTTCACCTGATCATACATCAATCTCGGATCAATCTAAGGAAACCAAGAATACTGAGGAGGAAAACAAGAATGTCATCGTTGATAAATCGGAGGATACTACAGATCTGAACCAATCGCAGCACAATGATGATAAAAATGATAAACCATCAGATAATAAAATGATTACTGAACATAAGCGTGAAGGTTCTACGTTAAAACGACAAAATAAAACAAGGTTACCCCCTAAAAAACGCCAGCTTAAAATAAGCAGTGATAAAACTAAATCATCACCAAAGAAAGCAAATAAAACAGCAAAAAAAACAAATGGAATTAACAATTATGCATGTCAACAATGTGAGAAGAAATTTCCTGATAAATGGCATTTAGAACGTCACAAGAATGTCCATGCTCGCAAAACTGCAACTGGTTATAAGAAGAAAGCTTTGTTAGTCAAGGAAAAAAAACCCGAAACTAGAAAGCGGTTTCGAGTGGCATCCATCAAATGCCAACACTGTGAGAAACTTTTTAGGGACAAGTGGCATTTAGAACGGCATGAAAGATCTCATACTGGTGAGAAACCATACATATGCGATGAGTGTGGGAAAATGTTCAGCTCGCAATCACACTACAGGGAACATAAAATTCGGCACAACGGGAAGAAGGAATTTATCTGTGATAAATGTGGGAGAGGATTTAACTTTGCTCCTGACTTAAGGGACCATGAAGATCGCGTACATATAGCTGGTAAATGCCACGCCTGTCAGTTTTGTAAAATGGCATTCACACAAGACATACAGTTGAAATTCCATGAAGAAACCCACATTGAGGAGAATCAGAAAGACCATGTATGCAGCTGTGGGTCAAAGTTCATGTACCCGGAAACGTACGCATCCCACAACAGAAAAGTACATGGGGCTTTACTCTTTATATGCGCCATATGTAATACAGGATTGCAAACCAGCCCGGGGTTGAAAGGTCATTTGAAATCTCACGAGGCGCCTGATGAAAAATTCCATTGTGATCAGTGTGGAAAAATATATCAGTCTCTTCTCGGGTTGAAATGGCATCAAGCCGTGCACAAAGAAAAGACTATCTGTTGTGAACAGTGTGATTGTAAGTTCTATCGAAAAATAGATCTGAAAAGACATTCTATGGTCCACGTGAAGGAGAGAAATTGTGTCTGCGAGACGTGTGGTATACTGTTTAAGCGACTTTCATCGCTTGTGTTCCATCGCAAGAAGCATTTGGGTGAAGCAAAGAGGTATTTGTGCGAGCTGTGCAACAAGGATTTCAACAGCACTGCTGCTCTCAAACGCCATGCTGTCATTCACACTGGTGAAAAACCGTTCATTTGCGACCAGTGCAATAAAACATTCAGTCGGAAAGATAATTTGAAAACGCACATGAAGGTACATAGCGGGAGTAGTAGCACATCATCTCACGTCGCGGTGAAACCACAGAATCTGGAAATGAAGAAACAAAATTTAGAATCATCTGATGGAAGTTTTGAATTTTCAGGTGAGAGTATAGGAGATTTTGGTTCGGATACAACAACAGAGTATATAGATAAACAACCATCAGTTTCAACTGAAAATGCAACTTATCATCATTCATATGCTCGTCCAATTGCAGAGTACATAGAAGCAGGTAACCATAGTGATGAAAGTGCCATAGCAATATCTGCTGCAGTTCAAACCCTGAAAACTATACAATGGTCCCATACTTATTGAGTCTTCTTTATTTCATTGTTGTATTGGTATTTTTTTTTTATATTTGAATGTATTAGGTCATTCAAAAACAATCAAATTTTTCTTGTGAAAAACTTGGTGACAAGCAAAGATTTATACTCATCTTGAATGTCTCCAAAATGATGTATAAAATGCGGAAACGTCCACAAAATATTACAAGCATTGAAGCAGGTGATTATTCGCAGTGAACAATGACTATGATGTGGTTGGGAAGACATGTTGATATCTCTCAACCCAAGGTCTCAGTTGGCAGCGGTCAAATAATTTTTTTGGCACAAATAAAAAAAAAAAAAGTGATGCTGATCCAAAATGTGATCTGACAAGTATGAGTTGGTCTGAATGAATGCTGTTCCAGAGTTCTGATATTCCTCAACCAATCATGTTATAAATATAAATTCTTTGACGATTAGGTTGAAGATGGCCAAATGGCGGCCATTTTACTGCTGAAAATTCATCAAAATCAAGCATTTCTGCCATTTCAGAGTCAGATCTTGATCCTGTGAGGAAAGATTTTGTTCAAATTTGGTACAAACATCAGAAATTATTGGACCTTGATGCACGTCATTTTGTTTGTCAGATCGGTTTTAGCTTACTGGTGGCCATTTTGTTTTTAAAAAAATGCTGTTCCAGAGTCATATATCTGACTGTTCATGTTCAGACTTTATATATTTCTTTATCTTGAGATCTCTCATGTATGGTAATGCAAATCCTGGTTTTATAAAAATTAAATTATGTAGGTAACAATCACATAAATGTGTTATGTAACT